ACTTTTTATTTCAAAATAGCTAAAAAAAAATTTTCGAAATATTTTTTTATATTGTAAATCTCGAAACATCACTTTTCAAAATCATTCGAAAATCTTATCTTATTAGCGTTTATTTCTGTTGAAAACTAAGCGCTTACTGGTTTCTATTCTTTATTTCGTATGATTCATTTATGATATTATTACAAAATAGGATTTCCTGCAATTATTTTCAAATAAAATATTTTTTACTTTTTAAAAAAAGAAGAAAAAACATTAAATTTTGTGTAAGGAATTCTGACTGGGCCCTGACTATTTTCAGGGTCTGAAACAATTGTCCCTGTGTATACCCATCTCTTGAGTATTAGTTGAATTATCATTAGAACTAAAACATCTTTAATGATCTTTACAATGATTTTCTGAATCAATTTTACTTTTATGTTTCTTTGATTTGACAGCCGTCACCATGGTGACGCTCTTCACATTTCATATCACGTGATAATCGAAGATTTTTATATATATACATGTTATTATGCATAATTTATTATTGCATAAAAATACGTGGTAAGATACGTTTTTAGCAACACGTGCGAAATTAGTGGAGCTTAGTTGCGCAAATGATGACGCATCCCCCGTATAACGACGGCACTACCTTCTCGGGTTATTTTTTATTCTAAAGAAGGGGTCTCCAACCTTCTTGTACCTTAGAGTAAATACTAGAATATCGGTTGAATATCGGGCACCATTTATTTTTTCAAGATAAATTTATTGTTGGTAAACATAGGTAATAATACACACTACATATAATGGGCAAAAATGTAATTTTAAAAATTAATTTAACATATGAATATAATTAGTATTAATATTCTTGTGTAAAATAAAGGATAACTAAATTACTTGCAAAACGTACGAAGTATAAAAATTATTTATGAAATATATAAAATACAGTCAGTATGATCTTTGGCATTGCATTTCACTGATCAGTGCTTCATAATTGGGAAAATATGATGAAATTCCTGCTCGCAAGCCATCGTCAAGGTGTTCATCTGTAAGTCGTGATCTATATTTTGATTTTATGATATTCACTGTCGAAAACAATGATTCACGCAAGTATGTGGAACCAAAAAAACGACTTTATTTTATATACTTCTCTTTGTAAGAATGGAAATTTATGTCTGTCAATTATTTTCCAGAATTTCTCATCTGATATAATAGTTTTGAGGATAGTGTCATTCTGGAGATCCAAAATTTCTATCTCCACTTCTTCTCTCCTTACTTGAAGAAATTCTGAAATGTATGTTGCTATTTCGGTTACGTATATTTGATTGGTAAAAGGATTTACAAAAAAGGTGACCATAGGCTCGATGATACTACATTGCTGAAAGGGGCTCTTCAATTTGAACTTGAGGAAGTTGAAGGTTGATAACAAATAGTGATAAGTCAATTTCACTGTCGCCTATCATTTTCTTCATGTTTGGAAAATGCGCAAGAGGCTTCCACAAAACTAGCTTTGCTCTGAACGAGTTTATATAGCCCCTATCATTCCTTGCTATATGTGTGTTCTTTCCCTGCAACTCCAAATTTAAATTATTTAGTTTTTCCATTATGTTTGTTACGAAAGACAAATCTGCTAACTAAAGATCTGCTCAGTTCTAAAAATATATGATTTTTGGCTACAAGATAATTTTTTATTTCTTCAATTAAATACATAAATCTATGAAGTGTTTTATCTTTACTGAGCCAGCAAATTTCAGTAAGTAACATGAGGTCAGTATCATCAGGATTTTGTAACAGGGCGTTGAAAAGTCAATGTTGCAAAGGAGCTGCTCGAATTAAGTTGGCTATTTTGGTAATAATTTTCTTTACGTGTCCAAATGGTAGTACTTTACCGCACAAAACTTCGTGGTGGATAACGCAGTGATACGACATAAAATCTGGAAGTGACCCATCTTTCATGCAGAGAGTAATTAAACCGTTCACGTTTCCCACAATTTGCTGATGTCCCATTAGTGGTTATAACAGACAGTTTCTGGGGAGGCATATTTATCAAACTTGCATATGTTATAAATGTTTTATAAATATCCTCACCTGTTGTCCGTCCTTTCATATTTTTAGTAGCTCTTCTTTCTTCTGTAAAATCAGTAAATACCATTCTCACCATATCTGCTAACTGTGCTGTGCCTGCTATGTCTGTAGACTCGTCAAATGGTAGTGAGAACCCCTCACATATTTCCAAATCACTCTTCAACTACGCTTGCATATCTTTTGAAATAGCCCCTATTCTTCTTGTAACAGTATTATCTGATAACTGTAAGTCTTGTATTGTTGACATGATCTCACGTTTGTTGGAAAATCCCTCAAATAAGCAATCAGCACTAGTAAAAAATGCTTCTTTTAACAACTGACCATCCTGGAAGGGATTTTTCTTCTTAGCGAGCATATGAGAAATTTTTAAAGAAGCAATAGTGGCATTTTTTGATTTTATTTTAGTACTTGTAAAAAGTGACTATTGAACAGAAAGATTTGATTTTAACTGCTCTGTTTTCTTTTTTTGCTGATTTGATTTTACTACTCTATTTCTTTCCTGGCGATTTCTATTTTGGTTGTGTATATCATCAATGTTGAAAAAGCAAAAAAAAAAAAAAATTAGAAAAAAAATGCGTAGCATTTTATAGGAAAATGGAAAATTTAAATATTTAATCGTTGGCCACAAGCAGCGACCGACCGACGGGCGCCATGGTGCCCGCGGGCATAGTGTTGGGACTCTTGAAAGTATACAAGACTTTTTTAAGTGATCAGAATTTCTGAAACAACGATTACATCAAATCGCACTTGATTTTCCGCATACGGCTTGCACCGACCACAGTGCTGACGTAAAATGTCTTCAGTGATCGACGGATCATGGACTAGAGTCCCCTTGCTAACCGTGGGTGTCATCAGGCTAACCGTGGGTGCTTAGTTTTCCTCTCCCTGTAACGTAGATTTGGGTCAGTTTCCATTCCATCAAAAAGTCCTCCATGAAGGCTAATTTCTCTCAATATCCAGGAGTTCCCTTGTTTTCTTTCTGGATTGCGCTACGGAGTTGAACATTAGTAGTTGTAAATCCATGAAATTGGATCAGCTATTCAACGACTGTAATAAAATGCAAAATAAAATCGCACTTGATAGAGTTATTGCTGAAAAGAACCAAAAGTTCTATGAATGTGGAATCATGAAGATGCAAGAAGGGTGGGAAGAAAGGAGAAAGATATTTGAATGATTCATCAATTTCACAGAGAAAAAAATAATCTTATTTCAAGCTAAAAAATCAGAAATTATTTGCTTGCCAACACAATATATAAAAGGCAGGGCAGTCATAGGGTTTTCTAGAACCTGATTCATAGACCCTGAGATGAAATTCATTGCACCCGCATAAATATAATATAAGTGAGGCATAAAAATTCTATTTTTTCCTATTTTATACCTTCTTGAAAGGAAAATTTTTAAATGATGATTGTAATAAATGATAGTAATAAAACTACTTTTTATTTCAAAAT